GGTTCGACCTAAAACCATATTGGCAATCAGAGAGGATTTTATGTCTATCAATAAATGTGTCTAATCTGTTATTAAAGGGTTTTTCCAAGATTTTTGAAAACTGTGACAACAGAGAAACCGGTCTATAATTTGTGAAGTTGTGCTTATCCCCAGATTTATACAATGGAATAACCTTTGCTATTTTCATATTATTGGGGAACTGACCAAGTCGAAACGACATGTTAAAAACATGGGTTAATGGTTTGCATATCCCCTCGATTGCCCATTTAACCATTGTCATACTGATACCATCACTATCACAGGATGATTTATTACCACATTTGTTCACTATATGTATAATTTTCTTTTCAACAATTGGCTTAAGAAACATAGAACACATATTCCTTTCAATTGTATTGTTATTTATATTGACGTCTATACAAATGGTACTTGCTAAGCCAGGACCCACATTCACAAAAAACCTATTAAACTTCTCAACTACATCCTCAAATCTGTTGACCTGTGTCTCATTGTCCATAAAATATGGGGGGTAATTACTCCTGCTGGTACTGTTTCTAATCAATTTATTTAATATCTTCCAAGTACCTTTCATGTTATTTTATTATCCTCTAATACTTTAGAGTAATATTGTTTCTTACATATCCTCAATAACGCAGTTAATTAGTTCTTATATAACTTATATTTTTCTTCCGCCTTCTTGGATCTGTCCTTTATAAATTCTTTATATAACGCATTCTTCTTTTTACATGCATTCTGTAATCCCTTTCTCATCCACGGTTTCCCACTAAGGGTTTAGCAAAGAGATTTATAATTAGTCCCTGCTCTAGGCATATATTGACCCTTGCCTGTAAAACTGTCATGAGTGCATGACTGTAAGGATAGTAGGTGGGAGCCTGGGACCAGTCAAGGCAAGACTGATGAGGCTCAGGCAAAACATCATCCAAAGTCCTCTAAAGCTTCATAACCATAATCCTGTCTTGCCGAGGACTCGGTTTTAATGAGCCATGTTGATTCAACCGAACCAATTCAGGCTTTGCTGACATGTTTTAGGATATCAATTATAGCCTTGGTTTACCTGACCAGTAGGGTGTTTATACAAATGGGTTGCTTTGCTGAACCTTAAACATGCTAACTGTGCTCAGGAAAGCTGTTGTGCTTACAGTACATTGCCTACAGGTACAGAATAAGTGGGATTCTAAGTTTATTTTGATGGCCACCACTTCAGTGTGAATTTATTACAAGCTGTGTCAAATCAGTTAATTACAACCCCCCCAGTAGCAAGTTATGGTTGGGCAATGGAGGAGAAAATATTGGCTTCACCTTACCTGTAAAGATAGGGAGTCAGCGTTTTTCATTTAAACCCTGGGATCAGCAAAATACTTCTGGCAACAACACTTCTGCAGTGAAACAGACAGCAGCATATAAAAACACACGGTCATGAAACTCCTAGTGTGGTTCTCATACATTTCTTTTCTTATCCAAAATGCAGGCTCAATGTTGTGAGCTGTTCGTCATCTTACATGTAAGGAACGTGGACCAACAGCATTAGTTTATGGAAATGTTATCTCCTTCTTCCAGGAAAACCCTTTCCGTAACAGGATTGTAGAGGCGTTCTCAGAGGATGGGGCTGGGAATCTCAGTTTCAATGAGTTTGTGGATATGTTCTCAGTCCTCAGTGAAATGGCTCCTAGAGAACTCAAGGCCATATATGCCTTCAAAATATATGGTAATGGCTCATTTTATCCAATCTGTAATTTAAAATTTCCCAGAATGAAATTAAATGAAAATTAGTCAAATATAATCTCTCTTGCCCATAGATTTCAATGTAGATAATTATCTGTGCAAAGAAGACCTGGAGAAGACTCTGAATAAGCTGACAAAGGAGGAGCTGACTCCTGAAGAAGTTGAGCTGGTGTGTGAGAAGACCATTGAGGAGGCCGATTTGGATGGAGACAACAAACTCTCCTTTACTGACTTTGAAAATATGATATCTAGGGCTCCTGACTTCTTAAGGTAATTAATTGTCCCTCACCTAAAACAAATGGTGTTTTAAGGTTATGTTTATAAAAGGCATTTGTCAGTATGTGTACACCTCATTCATGCTGCAGCACCCAGATGGCCTGTAATCATTTTTACCATTTAAATTGTCACCTTAACAACATCACTTTCATCTCAAGCCACCACTATGCCCATTCATACAAATGGCCTCACCACTGTCTGTCCCCAGTGAAATGATCAACACATCTGTTCCCGATTCTTTCGTATATATAATGTATATATACAATATGGCTGTATATTTATTTATATTGTCTTTTTCTGTTACGTCAGTACCTTCCATATACGAATCTGAGAGAGCTTCGTGGAAAGTTACCAAGGTCGGCAGTGGTGAACCTCAGTACTCTACCTGAACCATGTCCTGGCCACGGCACAGTGCCTGTCTCACACTCCAATTGTCAAGTCACATCATCTCCAGCCTCCAGCTGTCCTCGCCTCAGTGAAGTCTGCTTAGTTAGAAATCCAAATTCATAAGACACGGAATTTCACCACTCCTGATAAAAATGTTTGTTTTCTCTTACCACACATACTGTAAAAGGGCTTGACCTGGGAGAAAAGGCTAATCTTGTCATAAACAGTAAGCCAGACTCTAGATTGCTGCTTACTGAACATGTTCAAGAATGCATAAAATGCTTATCTGTCTATATTGCACATGAAATACTCCTAGTCTTCCTACACCTAGATATTTGTAAGGACAAAGCTTGAAGTGGATAAAAGCACAGCATTAGCATTAAGGGCCTACAGATATTCTATATTAGCTATGCAATATTTGCACATGCAGTGTATTGCTTTTAGTCATTTTAGGTTGTGTTCTTTGCTTGTGGAAATGGAAGATGATGACAATCATATACTACTATTCTCCAGATAAATGAAGGGCTCATTCTGGTGGCGTTTGTCTTCTGCCTCTTCCATTATTGTGAGATGTTAGTTGCAGGCATTTTTTAGATATACATTTTACAGTATTATGTGACTTCAGGTATTTGTCTTACCTTGAATAAACATTTCTTTTTCTTTGCTCCAAGTGAATTACTTAGTGTGGTTTATTGCAGCTGTAAAAAAAAAAAAAGCATGAAGGGATCCTTAAGTACAGGAGCTCTCACTGGTCGTTAACCAAAATCGAATCATTTCAAGTGACTGGCCAGACCTACAACCTGCCCATCCATACAACCATTTCACTTCAGGCCACCCACCCATGATGATCAATCAGAGTGCACAGTAAAAAATCAGGAAATCACTGTGCATAGCCCATCATATGAGCTGTAATAACTTGTTAGGTGGGATGTGATCATTAGGGATTAGCTGCCTCAGCATTCACAAGCATAAATCCTGCATACACAGTTAGCTTCAATGGACAGCTGAAGTAAACAGCCTTGGTCAGGTTGGTTGATAATTAACAATTTTTGGTTACTAGGTTGTAGGTTACAGACTTGTACGAGGTAGATATGGAGTACAGTGTACTGTGTTGTTTTCCACAGTTCATGTTTTTCAGCTGAGGTTGCACTAGAGAGCTATAAATGTATATTGGGTAGCCTACATGCAGAACATGTTGTTATAAGTCTCTGTTTGGGTCACGGCTGAACATGCCTCTGACAATAATTAGATTTGAGTCATCTCTACATCTTTGTTGCCAAGTGCAATGACTGCAAAATAATATGTGGTTCAAACTGACACATAGTAGTTACAGCACAATATAGAAACTGGGGCATTAGCTGTAGGCTAAAATAAAACAAAACATAACAAGCACCCCAGTACAGGTAATTTCATCTGAGAAAACTGCATCAATCAACACCAGATGATAAGTGTATGAAATAGAGCCATGTTGGTGAATGGTATGTTTGTTCTTATAGACAGTCTCAACAATAAAAAATGAAGAGAATTGAGTCTTCTTTTGACTGAAGGAGGAGGGTGTTAAAGCCATTTAAGCTGTGTGCAGTCATCAGAGCAGCCAGTTAATCCATCCTTCCTTTATCGCCAGGTCCCTTTATGAGGGCAGCATCAAATTTTCAGGGTAATACGATGCTAATTGTGTAGCTTCATGAATTACGGGTTTCACTGAGAACATTTGTTAATTATGATTCTAGCAGAGAAGCTTCTGGCACAATGTGATACTGGGGCTCTAAAGCAGCCATTACTGTAAACAAATGTTTCTAAGGTTGAGAGAAGCCAAACTGTGTGTGAAACCCACGCTGCTTTCTCTTCATGGGACCTTGTTTGTTTAATTTGAGTTAATATAAGATGATGCCTTCAGCTTTCACAATATGACAACATGGAGGATTTATAAAGTGCTTGATGGCAGATAAAAATTCTTAAGGATAATAATGTTCTAGAGTAATAATTTAGTCATGTTTTTCCTTAAAATTGATTACTTATAAACAAAATGATTTATAATGCTTTATAATATACCACAATGCTATCATGCAGTTGTAATAAGATATGTAGTATCATCCTATATTAAGATATTACTTATTATTTATTCATTTATAAATACTTTTTTTATAAATCTCCATGATGAACGAGGAAACACAACCCACTGATGAAGCTCATGAAATGCAATTGAAAGTGACAAGAGAGCTGTCACTGTAAAATGTTTATATACTGTTATCATTCACTATGAATATTTCATAATTAATAAATGTATGACTATATTCTTTAAAATGTTCTTCCATATGCTTCATACTACAACATGGCAAGTTATAAACAAATTGGTAAATGGTATATGCTGATTTCAAACGCTAACTTTGGGGTTACAGTGAAGTTGAGATTCTTATTCACACTTACATAAAGTACTACAGCTGTCACATCTCTTTTGTTGGGCATTTTTCTTATTTTGCATAAACCTAGTGTGCTGTGTTTTTCAGAGTGTTATTTACAGGTGCTGAGATCCACTGATAATCAGGCAGTTATGACGTCTTGTTAATCTGTAACACACATTTCGTTCAGTTTTCCAGTGACATTTTATCATGTGGATCTCAGTTGTGAAAGTATCAGAAATGTCAGATTAACGTTCATGTTGGGTCTTTTGATATATTAGTGGTTTGGCATATCCTGGGTTGTATTGTTTCCTTAAGACTGTCACTCGTTTTCTACAAAAGTAATACATTGGCTGTACTTTCATTTAACTGTTTATGAAAATAACTATAGAAAGCACACATTTGGCTTTGAAGCTTTATAAAAATAGCTTTACTGACCTCATTAAAGCTATACTACAGTATAATTGGAAAGTAAAACACGACAGATGATAGAAAACAGTTCGTGGCATTTCAACATCTTTGGGACACTCCCCCGTTGCTGTTGTATACAGCTATTTGGAGTCTGTAATGTGTATGCAAATAAAATTTCCTGTGAACAAAGTGCAGTGTGTTGATGGCAGCAGCTACTAGTCAAACGAGATCAGTAATGCACGTGAAGGTTTTGTCAAATTTCCACTGTTAGTACACTATGTTCCTGTAGGAAGGTGACGTAATCATGTTTTAATAGACGGCTCTTCAAGTAAGTAACTATACAAATGGAAAAACATCGGCTGATAAGGACATACTGCACATAGCCTGTTTTGAACACCGATGGCAATTCCAGGAATTAAATACAGTGGAATTATCTATTGCATCATCATTTATTAGTTGGCTTTAGCAATATTTTATGAAGCAGCATCTGTTAGAGTATACAATCTCACAGCACAGCACATTGAATACACTTGAATTTGTCTCTGCTGATGAGCATAACTTCCATCAACAAAAACTGATATATCATCTGACATCCCCGTACATTCAGCCTGGTATCTGCAGCTAGAACAGGAATGAAATCAATGTCATTACCAGGGAGTGATCAAACTGTAGATGCCGTCTTCCCAAACCTGCTCTGCCTTCATCATCTTGACCTAACCACATGATCTGTATTGAACATTAACACATGAGCTGCATATTTTCCTGTGTAAATGAAACTCAGAAAATCTTTGACTTTTTTATTCATGAATTTGTGTTTAATTGCATCATTTGTTTTATGAAATTTCAGTATACAGTTTTGGCTTACAGTGGACAAGAAGATATAACTACATTATTATGTTTTAAAATAAATACAATAAAAAGCAAAAACAGAAAATGTCATTTGAAGAGCTGTGAACATGTAAGTCTATGGTGAATATATAAAATAAGTCACTGCAGCGTGTACTGTATATTGAACATTAGCCCAGTAGTGTGAGAGTAAAATTAGTAAACATTTTCTTCAGGTAACCAAGGTAAAAATAAAGTCTTAACCACTTCACCATTTCCTCTTGACCTCTGGGAAGAGCCATTTCCATTTGTCATTCTGCAGGAAATAAGTAATTGAATTATCACATACAGTTAAGCAATGAACATTAAGTGCAACTTGTGAAAAATGAAGTATTGAAATGAAAGTATTTAGTATTTGTTACTAACCTTTAATATCTTGGGTCTGATGTCGTCCAGGAGCTCATAAGTGTTGCTTTTGAGTTTAGTATGGGCTGTGTCCTCATGCCCAGGAATCAGTTCATATGTATTGTCATGAGGGAAGTGGCCAAAGAGGGCTTCTTCGGAGATTTCAGCGTACACTGAATCACTAGCCTCAGACAGTATAGCATGAGGGCTGCCAGGCCTGCCAGCCAGATGATACACGGCACTGTCTCTTGTGTAGTCCGGACTGTGGCTGCTGCTCTGCCTGCTGCATGACTCTGTCTTCTCTGACCATGGAGTATGACTGGTAGGCTTGGGGGAAAGTCTTGGTGGTGTGTAGGGGGATGAACTCAGCCTGTACTGCTCCCTATCGGAGGTGTTGTCCAGAAGCGGTAGAGACCTGGTCTTGCTGCACTCCAGCAGTCCAAGCTCAGAGGAAGCAGAGTTTGGTCCAGGTGGAGGACTGCACTGGCTGATGTGATCAAGGGCTGTGGTTCTCTGAGCTCTCCGCGGATTATCTCCTGGTGCCTTGTCTTGATGGGTGGGTTGGGATCTTTGTATCTTCCTGGGTGATTGCTTCCTGAGCTGAGCGTACAAAACTCTGTCCTGGTCATTCAAGGGACCACTATCAAGGTGCCTGTTCCTTCGAGGCAAAGGTGGTACTTTCTGTTTCACAAAACAAGCCATGTTGTTAACCCTTGTGTTCTGTTAAGAATCTTAAACTCTGCTTGGGCATACTTACTGAATACAGTTTTGCTACAACATGTTATATAGAATAACGTCTTTGAAAACGATGGACTGCACTCACCTCTAGGGTCCTGTTGCTCTTTGGTGGCCATGTAGGTGGCTGCGCTGAGGCTGAGTTGGCGTGTTGTTTTTGTAAGTTCTTTTCAGCTCTGCTAGCAACCGCTGGTTTTTCTTTAGGGCTGATTTGAATGATATCATAAAGCTCTTCATTCAGCACCTGCAAAACAAAACACCAATTAGACATTTATTTTCAGTTAATGATAAAGGAACGAAAGTGTCTCAAAAAGGAGTTTGGTCTCACCTCATAGCAGGAAGATGTCAGATATTCTCCAAACGGCTCAATGGGACTTGTCTTGTAGTATTCTATTAGATCAGAGACTGTGCTGTGTCCCTCTGTGTCTCCACAGACAACAAACTGTCCTGCTTCATTTTGATTTATCACAAAGTGTCGACACCGATCCCGGCCTCTGCAACAAGAAAAAAACGTGTTAAAGCCCTGACACTGCACAACACATTCTTGTTTGCCTCATTTTATAGCAAGAGCTTTAGTTTTGAATAGAACTCGTACAACCTTTAGGCCTTGAATGTTCACTAATGTGGTAATTTGGCAAAAAAAAGTAGTAGTAGGGGTATATTTTTACTATAGTAGAGCTGGGAACTTGTTTAGATTAAATCAGCACTCACTTATAGGATAGTATGTACCCGATGGCCTTATCACTGAGACGGATGAGGAAACAGCCAAGCTCCTTTTCACTGAGTATCTCTTCAGCATCCCTGTTGATAAAACAATAAGGCATTATTAATTTCAGAACTTTTTAGTACATGAGTTTCCCAAAAGCCCACTTAGCATAAGTTTACAGTAAGGGAGAGGTAGATTTTTTTTAACTAGGCAGATCACGTAATTCACCTTGGAAATTACAGTGCATCTAAGGAAAATCCATTTCATGACATGAAACTGTCATTAGCAATACTCGGCTTCTCGTGTACTGTAACTATCCCCTATGCTCTTTATGTAGGTGTCTATGTCTTCCAGAGGAAGGTGTGTGTTACTAAGTGGCCACTTTCCATTATAGAAAAAAATATGTTGAATCTGTATATTGCTGCTTTTAATTTGAGGCTGTTCTTTTCTATATTTGTGCTGATTAGTTAGTCCGTTATTTATAACAATGCCATTCAGTTGTATTCAGTGTTTTTACAACTGGTTTAAGTGAGGCCATTTGGCCATGTTTCTCTTTGGCATTTCTTTTAGACTATTTATTTTAAAAAATTTCTGTTAGGGTTGCATTGAAATTTTTTGTATTGTTAGTTCTTAAATCAGGTCCCTGAGTACATAAATTTTGTTCCTTATATGTGTTATCATTCTGGAATGGCAATAAAACATTTTTGAATCCTTGACATAAACAGCCTCCTTTACAGCTGGTTTCTGGACTAAAGTTAAGAGTAAATAAATAATGCTAAAATATCACTACACCTGATAAATACTAAAAATAACAAGGCTTTAATAATAAACTAAACATTGTATCATCACCTTCTAAGATATATAAAATGTAGAAGAGATCATTTGTTATCCTAGTTTTTATAAAGTACTGAGTGTGAAAGTTAATCTTTAAGTAGACTTCCTCAGTGAATACTTACTTTCTGGTGATGAAGCCCAGGAACCAAGTGGGGAAGAAGCCGTTGTGGACGATGAGTGGCACTTGAGTCTCTATAAACCACTTGGAGGCCAGTTCCCTGAACCTTCCTTCAGCCCCTTCAGTCAGAGAATCCATCTGTGGTTCTCGTTGGTCTGTCTTCACCTGGGCCTAATCAAAAAGCCACACAGATACTCACTGAAAACAGCAGGCATTCATGTCCTATCATATTCAGTGAGGTTGTACTTTAACAGTCTGATTTGCTTATTTTTAAGGAGGTGTCACTCAGAGAGTAGAAGCAATTTAATGTTGTCATTCTTGTTGTAAAAAGCTGCTGCAAAAATTTAAATAAATAAATAAATAAAACACTGGTTACTCCAGCTTCTGTTATTCAAATGTGCACTTCTTAACATATATCTAACTACTTAATCTAATATAGTCCACAAAGCCTGTTCAAAACCTACAATGTCCTTTGTCACTGTAGAAGTAAAACTGATCTGTTGTTAATAAGTTAGTCATGAAAACAGGAAATAAGAGCAGTGCAGTTCGTACCTTTAAACAGAACGTCAGACAGGACCTGAGGCACTGTGATTTTGGATGTTTCTGATTCTTTGTCCTTGGCCCTGTAAAGTGACAGATCTCTTCAAATCTGGTTTTCTGTTGTCTGCATATTGTGCAGCAGTCCCTTTCTATCTCCAAAGAAAAAAAATATATACTCTTACACTTTATTCTAATTCAAATAAAAATGTCAGATACTGTTCTTAAAAGTTTCAGGTGGAGTACATACCTTTCCTCGCGATTAACAGTGCATGGTTTGAAGCTGGTGTCATTTCAGCAACCATTAAAATGCTTCTTTCAACTTCTGAACTGTCTGTAATCTCCAACCAAAGGTCTTCTGAGGGAGTATGACCCTACATGGGAGATATAGACAGATGACATTTAGAATTACATACATTTTTCCACTGGCCTGGAAAGCAGTGGTGCTCGGCAACGGCATAGCAGAGTTCATACAGCTCATTTGCATGAAAAAGATGGCTAAAGACCGCCTAAGATAAAAAAAAAAACAAGCACTTCCTGAAGAGAAACGGAAAGTAAGCTGTGCAGAAAATGTGGTTTGTGCGCATACGAGTTGAAGGGTTTACAAGAGGAGATGTTTTACCCACATACTGTCTGATTACTGTAGCAATGGAGATACAGTGCGTCAGCAGTTGATTTTTTGGGTTGTTTTTCTGACCTGGGTTTGCAAAACAGGGGCAAATGTGTGAAAGGAAATATTTGGGAAGATTCAGTAGTGATTTTGGAAGGTGTAAACAAAACCCTAATAAGACCAAATATTTCCCAGCCTTGTTTTTAGGCTGTCATAACTCATTCCCCCCATGTCTGAGACAGTCGTCATGAATTATGTCTATGGGTTTCTGCTCTGTAGTAAGCAGTAGGAACTCCCTGTGGGGGAGAGGCAATAACCAGAAACAGTCTGTGTCATAGTGAGTGGGATGAGTCTGGATTTCAGCCCTCTCCCATAACAGCATTGCTCCAACTTTAATCACATGCCACTGCTGTCTATATGCAACTGATTAAAAAGTGTCTGAAATTGATCAGGGTGACTCTGAATGTCTTCAAATTTTATTTCATTGCAGTTTTCATAAAATGTAAGGTAGAGGCTGATTATTTACATACCCACCCAACATTTTTACAAATGCATACAGTACCTACTGTATGTTCCATGTGTGACTAAGTATTGCTATATGACCTAGAACTTTAACATCATCTCAGAAGGTTTTTTTATGTCTTTGTGAGTCACTACTGCATGTGCCCCTGTGGGGGGGTGTACCGGATTAGGGTCAAATATTATCACGAGTTCCGTGTTTGTAAAGAACCTGTTCAACACTATCTATGTGTAGAGTTATTATGCACATAATGAATTGTTAACAGTGCCTGAACAACACAAAAGTGTATTTTATCTCCAGCAGCTGTGAAATAAACTGATATAAGAAAAGAAGTAGATTAGAGCCATCAGACAGGTGCCAGACGGGCTCGTTAGGATGTTTCTTCAGTCTTTCTGGCGACATGCAGTACTGAGTGGGAGGCAGTTCTGTAAAGGTCACAACTCAGTTAACTGCTGTAAAATGTCATTACAACTACATCACCTTTGATTTCCTTCAAACATTGGGGTAAAGCAATCATCCTGACAAACAACCTTATTATAATGCAGCTGGAAACAAAACATCACTATACACAGTTCTTACCATAAAGTCCATTTTCCTGTTTAAGGAAAGTTTAAATGGGAGAAATTATGTGTTGTGTAATACGCATTTCCAAGCATCAGCCGAAGACTGATTACTCTCCATGACCCATTATGTTATAACATGTTCAGGCCTGCAAATCAACTTAGGGCATCTTGAAAAACTGGTTTATTTGTGCACTTTAAGAATGAGCTCTGGGGCCATGTATGTTCCAGCAGGTTAAGCTCTTTTGTTTTAATATTAACGTATAAGTCACACTGTAAATAATATATGGCTAGAAGCAGTATTTCACTACAGGACGACTGGTTGTCAGTGGTGGGATGTAACCAAGTACATTTAGTCAAGAGCTTCACATCAACCACAGGCACTGCAGTTAAGATTGCATAGTACTTTTATTTTTGATACTTTGAGAGTGATGCTGATAATACTTCTGTTCTTTTGCAAAAATCACATTTTAAATGAAAGACTTGTAATTAAGTATTTTTTTATTATTGTATTTCAGCATACACTAAGCTGCCATGTGAGGATCTTATCTGTCATATCCAACAAGCACCATTATGTCGCCTACTACAGTACATAATAAGGTTGGTGAAGTATTAACTTAGTTAGCCTGGTATAGTATCGGTATTGTTATTGGTATGGGTTGTATTGACTTTTTGTTTATTTTATGTCTCTAATTTGGGGATACTGATTATTAATTACTATTATATTGGACATTGACCTACAATATGTCTTTAACATGATCTCTTCCAAACCCATAATTCTGTTCTTGGCCCCTGCTTCAACCTGCAATGGATTAGTTTTACAGTGTGGTTGTTTAATAAGGAAAAAGATTTTGTTTTTTTCTGCAGAAATGTTGCTGTTCTTCTTTAAGATGGACAATCTCATGTGCACCTTGTCCGTGCTCTTGTCAAACACCTCCGCCTAGGGGTTACTTCTGCAGCTGGCGCAGGAAAGCAAGCACACGTCACCTTTGGAATAAACTACATCTCCCGTGATCCTCTCTACATGAGGCAGGCAGTCATGCGGATGGGAACAGGAGTGGGCATCCGCTGGATTTCAGAAAGATTTAACTTAGAGGGAAGATGCACGAAGAGAAGGATGGCACCGAAACAAGCTGCAGAAGTACGCGGGTTCTGGCCTCCAGGTCCGTGGATGCGCCCGAGTTGGATGGAGCGAAGGAGCAGGCCTCCAGGCTGTGCGGCTTCTTGAACAAACTGTCAGGCAAGGGACCCCTGAGAGGTTACAAGCCGAGGTGGTTCGTGTATGATTCAAGGAAATGTTATTTGTATTACTTCAAGACTCCCCAAGACGCCTTGCCTCTCGGGCACATCGAAATATGCGATGCGTGCTTCAGCTACGACGTGGAGGGGGAAGAGGGGCAGTTTGAGATCCGCACTGCCGGGAAGGAGTTTCTCCTGAAGGTACAAACTTTTCCTCATGTGTAACTTCATGGCTGTTTAGCAGTGCTGACCCTGTTTTGCTGTCATTTGACACGCCCTGCCTCTCTGTTGAGACACACACACACACACACACACGGTAACGTTACAGATTCATTCTGACCTTAGCTTTAAATCACACACAGGAGTAGAACTGATGGCAGGGATGTGGTTGGACAGTGTTCACTCGCTTTTATGAAAAGCTGGTTATCAAAAACAACTAATCAACAAAAACAACTTCATAGGTGGTGTTTATCAGGCAAGAGCCGATTCACGCCGTCAGCTCCTCGTTTACATTTAGAGACATTTTTAAACCGATTTAAATGCACATGAGCTGAGCTGCACACATGACATCTGTGCTTTGTCAAGGGTCACAGCAGCTCATGTGATGGGCTTCTTTGCTGTCATATGACTGTGACAGGTTCAGTGCCTGGACAGGTGCTTCTGGTTTCACTCAGCCTGGCTGGCTGAAAGCCTGCATCTGTTTTAGCAGCTGGTGGAATCGGTTATCTACAAACAGCTTGTATGGCCTGACGCCGGAACTGAGACTGAAACCAGTGTCTGCGTTCACATGACAGAGCTTAATATTAACCTGCTATTTAAAAGCTGGGGTGTTTCATAAACTTTATTTAATTCCACAGCTGTTACTTTCTTTTCCAGCCAAGGTATCAGCCCATTAATACTGATGCTTGAGTTGTCTTTAATGCCTGATCTCTAAAATGTGATTGAATTGCATCAGCAGTGTGTAAAATGCCTCACTAAAGCTGATCAAAGGTTAAAGTTCTATCATCTTATCCATCCAAGTGAATAGCTCTGTTTATATGTGTATTTATGTTCGCAGGCCCCCAGCAGGCAGGTGATGCTTTATTGGCTCCAGCATTTGCAGCAGAAGCGCTGGGAGTACAGCAACACCCGAGGGTCCGGCCAGGGAGACAGCTGGAGCTCCCTGACCCTGGCCTACCCTCGCACCGGTCTCGTAGGCAAAGACAATGGTAGGCGTGTGCACACATGTACAGTGCCATTTTTACTGCTGTGCTGTATCCAGGCAGTCACCTGAAAGTAAACACCTGTATCTGATGGAGTAATATTTACACAAGTGCTCCAAACACAAGTAAATTTAATTTGTTGCCAGATTCCAGAGTGTCTATAAAAACTTGGCCAAAATACACTATATCTAGTGTGTGCTTTTAGTTTAATGCAAATCTGATTTTGTGTATCGCATGTTGTTTTCAAGGTTCACACACAAACATCTGCCGTTGCACTGTCACTGCAACGGCAGATGCAGCACAGTATATTTATACTGTCCCAGCACAAGGCTGCTGTTCCACTTACTCATTAATTGATTGATGTTCTCTCATTATCATTGCACTGTCACTGAACAAATGCAGCACAGTATATTTATACAGTCCCAGCATGAGGCTGCTGTTCCACTTACTTATTAATTGATTGATGTTCTCTCATTATCAGTGAACATGCAGTATGTATGCAGGCAAAATGAGCTGTCATCCCAGTCTGTGACCTCACTGGTTATGGTGGTCCAAACTGTGTGGGCACCAAAGTTTGGTTCCTCCGTGGGAAACTGTGAACAATTCAATGACTAGTGGTCTGTTAATGTGTTTTTGTGCCCTATTTTTGTCGATTCAGTTTTTGCTTGATTAGATATGAGACTTATTTGAACACACATACACTACCAATCCAAAGTTTAGAAACACTTTCCCATTCGAATCAATGGGAACTTGTCTCCAAACCTTTGACTGGTCGTGTAGTTTCTGTCAGTTTGGTGACAGTTACCAAACAGCTCACAGATTGCACTCGATAGCTGGATTACTATTTTGTAATAAGCTGTCATATATCTGACGCCTTCAGACTGCAAATAAAATGCATGAGGTTCTAATTTAACCTAAAGTCTGCATGCAAATAACCCATAATAAATCTTGAAAACAGCTATTTAAATCAATTCGTTTTTCATTTTCAAGTAGCCCTTATTGTCCTGAAAAAGAATACATCCACGTTCACACACAAAAGCAGTGTTGTTGATTAAAAGAGTTACTATTATAACTGTATTAGAGTTTTGTTACCATTATTTTAAGAAATAGCTGAAATTTTCCTAGTCTTAAATGCTCCTTACTTGGATATTTTGTTTTACACATACTAATTTGCTGGCACAGGTTTAGAGAGCATAAAAGGATCTGGTTTTCCTTGTTTGAATGTCCCGAAGCCTTCAGAGGTTTTATCGAAGTCTCATCGTTGTCACACTTGATTCACAGTGTAACAGCAGCTTGTGTGGTAGCCGCCGGTTTCCCTCTGGGTGTGATGGCAGCTAATTTCATACAAACAGGAAAATTTATGTTTAGCATCCTACATCCTCCGATGGTTAGCAAGACGCTCGTGCACCTGCACATGTGCTGTAAATAGCATTCTGGGTAACTCTACTGCATCACTTGCATTTTGGAATCCATTCAGGGTCATTACAATCTCATTTTCTCTACAAACAATGTACATATCTGAGGTCCTGTAAAAGAGCGATGGCGATATGAGCTATGCTGTATTAACATTCTGTTATCTAATGTATGTCATGTTTCAGATGCCTTTGTCCTTGAGAAGCTAAGTGAGAGTATGGAGAAGGTCCGCAGCGATTTTGCCATGGAGACAGAATCAGATGGTGAGGGAATGGTGGGGATCCACATGGCCAGAGGACCCTCTGCTGTGTCCACAAGCCCCCTCAACTTCTCCCTCAAAAACTTTGGTACAGAACTCAGGTAAGGCTGGACAAAGCCTTTCTTTATCTCAGTTTGATTTTATTGTGCCAACATTTTTAAAAAGAAGTGAAGTGTATTTTCAGCTATTTGTTTTGAGCCCTTGCAAAACATGTACAACTAGTTTGTCTGCTTCAGTTTGTGACCCGCTAGAGGACGGAGGCACAAACTGTACTGAGGAAACCAGACACCTCTTCACTTCTTCCTGAAGTGGACTGCAGGGGAGGAAATGGTTAAATGTCTTATACTTGTATAGCGCCTTTCTATACTTTTTACAGCACACTCAAAGCGCTTTCACACATTATTCAGCCATTCACCCATTCGCACTCTCAAGCACTCACGCATTCACACACCGGTGACATCACCAGGAGTAACTGGGGGTTCAGTGTCTTGCTCAAGGACACCTCGACATGTTGACTGGACAAGCCGGGAATCGAACCGCTAATCCTCCGGTTAGGAAACGACCCGCTCTACCTCCTGAGCCACAGCCGCCCCGTTACATTGATAGTTCACTATGTTCTAGTATTCAGCCACCAATACTTCTCCTTCTGGGTCACACAGCACATCTATTCAAATGATGTAACACATTGAAATGCAAAAAAGATGTGATGTGGATTTTGAAATTGTTTCCCATCCATGATGGGAAAATTGCTCACTCATTAAGGTGCACAGGAAGTTGAGCTGCGTTGCTGCCCATCCCTAACAGCATGTGTCCACATCCGGCTGTTATCCTGCTACATTGCGTGATGTTTAGAGTGCTTCCAGAGAGAATACAGAATGAACACCAGATGTTTTCTGATATTTTGTTCTTTCCAAACAACCGAAACATTTTCTCACTAAGTGAAATAGTGTTTCAGTTAAGCGCACCTGTAAGTTTATCAGTGGCAGTTTTTGCAGTTGCGACTCATGATCGTAGTAGATGCAGCTCAGGAATGTTAATGCCAGAACTGTGACTGGGTTGCATGCTCATAAAGCACGAGTGAACCTCTGTTGGTTATGTGGACTCGTTAGATAGCTGCATTGACCGAAGTGTGCTGGTTCTTTAAGGTGGAGGTGCTTTGGATGGCTGAAACACATATGGTTTAGATGGGGTATGACACAGGTGAGAATTGCTTTCTGCTGCACATGGAAAAACCAGACTGTTGTCCATTTGAAATAATGTCACATTTAGATATTTAAAAACATGAGTCTGCCTCACAATGGAGTTGGGGGCGGTCACAACCCTGTTCATTTACTATATATTCACCTTCATAATACGGCGTTAACGGACCCATTTATTTTATGATGAGGAAGCCTTATCAGAGCATCAGGCTTCCCTGCAGTTTGTCCTTGATTCCTGTATATTTGAACAATGTTAACATGATATCAGTCACCTACTGCCCAGCATGACTCTGAACCTCCGTAGTCTTGGTCTCACTCACCCCTCCCGTCTGGTTTCTGGTCTTTCAGGAACTCCATGCTTTATTTGCGGCAAGGCAGAGGAGGTGAGAACAGGCGCAGCGTGTTTTACGCCGGCAGCAACAACACAGAGGAGTGGGAGCTGGTGGATGCTCCGCCCAAGGACTTCTCTGAACCGAAACATCATTCAGACACACACAGACGTATGTCCACCACCTGCTGCCTCAGCCTCTCATGTAGTACTCATACGCAGCTTACATTTCCCAGAGAAGATTGTTTTGGCTTTTATTGCTCTAGCCATTTGGTCATTACTGTGACAAATGAACCAACAATGCATTTTTCAAAAACCATGAGTCTCTTTTGCTACTTATCTTTGCTCATGCCTGTTGCCAACACATACAGTTTAAAATTATGGGTGGGGGTGTTTCACGTGAAACAACTGTTGACATTCTCTTCTCTCTCAGATTCCTTTGGGTCAGCATTTACATTCGACTTTGTTCGGAACTCGTCGCGTCAGAAGAAACCTTTCCTGCGAGACATGATGAGCTCTGGGAGGTCCGGGCGCAGCACTGAGACGCGCAGTGCTGAGACCTCTCCGGTGGAGTGTAATGGCAGTAAATCTTTGGAGATGCAGCTTCGCCTTCAGAACCAACAGGAAGAAGTGAGCCGTATGCAGCAGGAACAGGCCGAGCTCAGAGAGGAGCTGGCTGGTCAGAAGGTACCACCGCCTTACTCGCATCATTTTCAAAAGGAATTCGCTACAATTGTTATTGCTGTTATGAGTGGAGTAGACCATCCTGTCATTTTACATTTTTATCTATAAAGCACCAGGATTGACATTATAATATGTGTATTATTCACATTAAGGGGAATTAACAAAGTGACTGGGCTGCGGTTTGGTGTAATTCTAATGCTAATACAGGAAGACAGCAAATGTTTAGTAATGCTTAAGCAAGAGATGAAGAAACAATTCTCCTAGCAACACAGCTGTTACTCTCTGTTCTTGTTTTAGTGTTTTGAGATTGGCTGATCGGTCACACTTGCTGCAACACTAGCTGGATGAATAAATAATGTGTGTCTGCTTCTGCTGTTTTACTTGGTAAATGGTCATTTAGCAGGGATTTACTGATTAGCTTAGCTGGTGTAAGCTGGCTATGATTGCATTCAGGAAAAATCAACAAACAGAATATGCAGCTGCCCTTGATGAGTGCAGTAGTTTTTGTTAATTGGACAAATATTTGTCACCTTCAAGATAATTGATTAAAAAAATCATTTAATTCAGTCCTTTTTCTGTGAATAAAGGCATGATTCCGACACTGCAAGTTGATGTGTTGTCCAAACAAATTCTCTTTGTCAACCAGGAGCTAGTTAGACTTTTGCAGCAGACCCTGAGGACATCTCAGAGTGACAGGCCAACAATGTGCCCTCCAGCTTCAGACCAGAACCAGACTTCAGCCATAACCCAGGGAGAGAACACCCAGTTGGAGACATTGCTTCTGGAAAGAGATGGACAGATCCAGTCCCTGTGTGGCCACATGGAGCGTCTCACCCTGGAGAAGGAGAGCCTGCAAGCAGAACTGAAGGGCCTGAAGATTAAGGTGGGGGAGATTAATGACCAGCTGGGGATGCTGATGGAGACCATCCAGGCTAAGGATCAAGTCATCATGAAGCTGTCGCAGGAGAGCTCTGAGCACAGCGGCAATCCAAATGAAACCGGTTCGTCATCTCCCAAAAAAGAGCAGCAGGAGCTGGACATCCTCAAGGTACAGAAGGAAACACCTAGACCACTTTTAATGTCGATAGAGAATTAATTTTGTTTTTATGGTTTGTTTATGCTGTGGTTAAATTCTCACTTTGGTTAAATTGATGTACTGTGTGTTTTTTCACTTTCAGGACAGCCTTCAAGGCTACAAATCTCAGAACAAGTTCCTGAACAAAGAGATCCTGGAGCTGACAGTGTTACGCAGAAATGCAGAGGGCAGAGAAAAAGCTTTAGAAGCAAAGGTACTCTGTTTTATTTGGAGCATTTAATGGATCATTACCCTCTTAATAGAAACAGGAAGTCTGAGTAATGTTTAGGGGAAGTCCAGGATGGGCCTTAGCTGATGACCTCTAACTCTAACATGCCAGCAAGCAGATGGTTTGTGTTTACTCCTGTCTTCTTTCCTTTGCTGCAGTATATAGCCCTGGAGGCCAAATTGTGTCAGGTGGAGAGTAAGTATCTGGTGCTGCTTCAAGAGGTGAAGAACCCGGTGTGTTCTTCTGCAGAGCAGAGCCCTGCTCGTGAGGTCATTTCCAGATTATTAGAGGATGCACTGCAGGCAGAGAGCTCTGACCAGCAAGATCACCCTATCTTCAAACCAAATACTGTCAGGTATGGGCTATGCAAAATAGGTTGTTTTGTGTTTTGTACATATAGAAGATAAAGGTAAAATTTTTCAACAGGACCGAGAAAAAAAATTAAAAATAAGATGCTTTAATATTTTGCTTTAAATTTAAATGAATTTAACTATTGTAAAATTATAAAAGCACTTTCAAACAGTTATTCTGCATCTTGACATTTATATGGGTTTCGCAAAGATGTATAGCTCAGTGAAGATGATCTCACATGTCATAATCAGAAATTTCAAGCATGGCTATAGTGTAGTTGAGTAGAAAAATTCCACTGTCTGAAACATTAAATGCAAAAGTGTCAAGTTCCTTAGTATCACGGGTTGCAGTTCTACATAGACGTAGCAGTGTAGACCAGTTTTACTCCGATTGACAGCTGCACTCAGTTCTGGCTGAATCTTTACTGGAAAAACTAGCTCTGCTAACCGGTGTCTTTGTCGCTACTTCTCTGACTAATGTGCAAGCTCAGGCTTGTCAAAATATATTGTTAGAAATACAGGAATTTCCTGTGTGATGTTGAACTGAAGGCATGTTGATGATGAAATGTGGTAATCCCCCCCCCCACTCCCCATCTCTTGTAATTACTTTCCTGTGTGATGTGGAACTGAAGGCATGTCTCTTCTTTCACTCATGGTTAGTGAGTATGACGTGTATGGCTTCAAGACGGTGCCTGAGGAAGAAGAAGAGGAGGAGAAGCTGGATGCAAAGGTGAGAGCCTTAGAGCTGAAGTCCCTGTCCATGACAGATCAGGAGGTGTCTGTGGGAGTTAAGTGGGAGAACTATCTTGCCAGCACAATGAATAGAGACCTGGTGCGCTCCCCTGAGCTCAAGGCCCTGATCCGCTGCGGTGTGCCCCATGAGCACCGGTCCCAGGTGTGGCGCTGGTGCATCTCTTTCCACGTCAAGAAGTTTCGAGAGAACTTGCCAACAGATTATTATGAGACCTTACTAAATGTGGCCCGGGAGAAGCCCAACCCTGCCTCAAAGCAGATCGAGCTGGATTTACTACGCACTTTGCCCAACAACAAGCACTACGCCTCCCCCAGTGCAGCCGGTATCCAGAAACTCAGGAATGTCCTGGTGGCCTTTTCCTGGAGGAATCCAGACATCGGCTACTGCCAGGGACTAAACAGGTACTAGAGGGGGATCTAGTTTTTCCCCTTCTTGTTTTCTCCCTTTAGGAACATTAATTTTTATTGCATGCCATTTCTTCAGGCTGGCTGCCATTGCCTTGCTCTATCTGGACCAAGAGGATGCCTTCTGGAGCCTTATAGCCATTGTGGAGGTCTTTATGCCAAGGGACTATTACACCAAGACTTTGCTTGGCTCACAGGTAAACACGCTCAAATAATATAACAGTGGAAGACACAGAGACAAAAGGTGTCATGATGTTGTACTCCTGTGACTGAGCCTGCCAATCATGACTTTCCAGAACAGGATTGCAGTGCAGTAGTTAGCACTGTTTTTCCCTTATGTTTTCCACTGCTGTAAAAATGATATTCTCAACTAGCCATATATTTTGGTTGTGTTTGCGCAGGTTGACCAACGAGTGTTCAAGGACCTGATGAACGAGAAGCTACCCCGGCTCCACGCGCATTTCGAGTACCACAAGGTAGATTTCTCCCTCATCACCTTCAACTGGTTCCTGGTGGTGTTTGTGGACAGCGTGGTGAGTGACATCCTCTTCAAGATCTGGGATGCCTTTCTGTATGAAGGACCAAAGGTGAGAAGCAGAGAGAAGTAAATCTGTGGTTCTATAATCTCATATTGCCAGATTTCTGTCTGGACATGTTCGCAGAGCTGCAAAGAAAACTAAGTGAGATAAGCAGTCTTGAAAATTGTAGCTTTTCAGCTGGCTGAGTTAAAGTTCACCTGCATTTATAGATGATAAGTCTGATTAATTTTCTGTTTGGATGTCAACAAGTTCCCACAAGAGCAAATTTAGAGGTTCAGCATATAAAACCTGCATTTGTATTTGAATTCCTCTAGACCCCTGTGACAAGGTGGGATCATGGCTACACAGAGTTAAAGTTCCAGTATTTATTATGTTTATTAAGAGTGGATCAATGTGTGTCTCCCATCTCTGCAGTGTTTTTCATCATTATAGTGCTTTTTAGCCTGTTTTAGCTTGTTTTGGATGTTTGGCCTTTCATAAACCCCATTTACAACAGCAGCAGGCAGATGCTTTCTACAGAACTCCACTGTATGTTATCTGTGCAGCACAAAATTGCAGACAAAGTCAGTTCAGTTTTATTTGTATAGCACCAACTCAAAAATACAAAAATGCATTTTACATAGCGAAGTATAGACCGATTATTATAATTATTATGCAAGCCACAAACACAATTCTGAATGAATTCTAATTTCACCAAATCTCTGCTGGAAAGTGTATGGGGGCAGTTGTTTGCTAACAGATAAGCTAATACAACTCTCACGTGATACTGTATTAGCACTGTATGGTTTTAGCTTATAGGCTTATAGCCCCTGAGTTTAACAATCATTACACCTGCCATCACTTTTTGGCCACTTGGGTGCAGCAGAAACAAGCCGTGGACACAACACTGATAAAATAAAATGGTTATGGAGACCTTGTTAGCAAACAGTTTATTTATACATGCAACAGATAATGAGCAACATTAGCAGCTATTTTGGAGTCATATTTAATATTTAGAGGTTTGTGGTGGGAATCAGACTTTTATTCAATTGTAGTTTCAGCTGTAACTGTAAATAAATGGCTTTTGTCTCACAATAATGATATAATAAGCATATATTATACTGTGCTGTGAGGTCAATGGAAATATGGGTGTGCTCGGAAACTCCTCCAAAAGTAATAAATACTGCCTTCAGTCTTACATGTCACAGTGTAGTACGGTATACAGTCACATAGGGAAAGCCATTAGGTGGATTTCACAGCTTTGACAATTTCTCTCCACAGATCATATTTCGTTTTGCCCTCGCTCTGTTCAAGTACAAAGAGGAAGAGTTTTTGAAGTTGTACAACTCTACAGCCATCTTCAAATATCTTCGATACTTCACACGCACAATCTTGGATTCAAGGTGCAGTAACTGCAACTTGTTTTGGCATTTTATCTGTATACGTGTGACATTTCTGACAGTGTGGCTATAGTAATAAGGAGCAAGATAATTAAACTTGCAGTAGATGATCATATTCCTTTGCTCTTTGGTTGGTTGTATACAAGCAGACAGCTCACTTACAGTCTGAGAACTTAGCATTTGTAGACATTGAAGCTAATGAGTAATTTATCATTTTTACATCAGAACAGCACATCAGGCTAATCAGTCCTAATAATTGTGCAACAATGACTTTGGGAGACATTGGTAAGGAATACACCTAGTCACTGAAAAAGGAACAACAGGATGTCAAATTCAGTACATCTACACAGCGCAGGGCCTGCAGAACAATAGAAAACCATTCCAGAGTCATATGACTGTGTGTTTTTCCTTTTTCCAGGAAGCTGATGAATATCGCCTTTGTGGACATGAACCCATTCCCCCTAAGGCAAATCCAGAACCGCCGCTCCTTCCACTTAGAGAAAGTCCGTCTGGAGCTGACCGAGCTGGAGGCAATCAGACAGACCTTCCTCAGGGAGAGAGAGACGAGTCAGGATGGACGAAGCTTTGTCAGCGATGATGAGGAGGACAACTGACCTTAACCTAACGCACATTTTCTGGCCATGTAGCTTAACAGTGAAGACAAAGAGATCAACTCCCCACATCAGTGATGAGTTGGAGGTGCAAAGATGGGATTTTTTTCCCTAGTGTTGGAGTTGGTCTCTGACTCAGCGCTTTTACAATCAACTTTATACTTTTTGAGCAAATTGGATCAAAAGACCAAAACATTAAAGACCAAATGGGCGTTCTATCAGTATTCCTGCCATTTTTTTTGTAAATGCCTTATTTGTTGTATGCTCTGTTTATGTGATGGTATACATGTCTTATGGCTCTTCACTCTGCAATGCCAAGCGCAACACTTTCTGTTTGAATCAGTATTTTCAATAATTATGGCTGTGATTTTTTTTTTTTTTTTTTTCTCAAGCAGCTGGTGATTTTTGGCCATTGAAGGAATGAGTGTGTATTTTTTATTTTTGTTTTCATTATGGTTCAGTTTTTTGTGCTTTCTCTGCACCTAGTTCTTTTCCATAAATGTCAAAAATAATTGTTTATGCAAGTTCAACAGCACCTATTTTGTGTTCGATTCCTGTGATGCACTTGAATCACTTATGCTGATATTCATTTTTTGCTGAAACTTAAGTTTTAGGTTGTCCTGATCACTGACCAAAATTGTACAAAACATTCCAGCCTTCAGATTCAGAAGTGTATGTGGTCCAAAACAATATATGCAAAGATTTACTGTCAGGATCAAAAGCTAAATTTACCCTTATGTTGTCCCTTAAACAACATGTATAACATTTATGGGAAGGCTGCACAATTTGAAGCCATAAAGGTGTCGACCATTATTGCCTTTTTTGGTTATATAGGTTCAGTTTATTTTATGTGGGGGATTTTTTTATTTATTTTTTTTTGGCAAACATTTGGGGTGTTTCAAGTGTTGAATGGATAAATCCTACATGTATTAGCATTCATTGTCCTCAGGGTGGCAGTGTAACATTTACATTTTCACAGGTACTCGCCATACAGTATGATTTATAAAGTTTATTATACTATTTCAGCTTCAGATGAAATGACTGAAGTCAGTCTGTCAACATGATTAGTTTGTTAAAATAGAAATGATTTGTAATCTATGAGGCAAGTATTTCAGGAGACACGTGGAGCAAGAACTTTCTCTTTAAAGTCCAGGCACTTACAGAAGACTTACTTTTTTAGCACTGTGACAACATCCTTTTTTTTTTTTCCACACCTGTTGTACGGCTCCTGCTTTTTAAAAAACCAGTATGACAAATATTTCGCACATCAGAACTCTCCTGTAAAGTAACCATGTTTAGATTTTAATTAGTGGAGGTAGATTGTTGTAGAGGGGCACAAGTGAGTTTTTCCTCACATTATCTTTTCTCCTGTGTGCTGATGTATTGTTTACAACTTTTAATTTTCTTTATGTTTGATTTACTCTGAGCTGTTTCCAGGTTTGCCTTTGCTATTATTTGCAAAATTGACCACCTTTATTTCTGCTCCAGCACTGTCAGCTGAGGCGTTTTGTGTAACAACCTTTGCTGGACCAGCTGATCAAGTGTCAGAACTGCAGATGTTTTGACCATGAAAGTGAAAAAGACCAGTAAATGTTAAAATTAATTGTTTTCCTCATGAGAGCAGGTCTCTCTATAAATCAAAACTTTCAAGAAAGATTTGTTTTTCAGGTCCAGTGGTTTTTTCAGATGTCCCATACAGTATGCTTCATGGTTGACTTATATTTCATTACCCATATTTAAAAATGTCAGTAACCTCTTGTTTTAAGACTGGTTTGCATGCTTTTTTTTTGTTTTCTGTCATGTTATCACATTGAATAAGCTACATTTAAAATGATTGTCTTCTCTTTTTCTTTCTTTTGCTTTTCCCAGCAGTGTATTGCACAATTGTAGTGATAGGATGACTTCAGAATATTATGCTTTCTTTTGTATGTAAATCTCTATGGTATGATTTAAAATGCACAAAGCTTTTATGTTAGAGAAAAAGTATGCACCATGGTATGTTTTTGTAATAGCAGGTGAAAGACAATTTCATTAAACAATGGTTGACTGATCGTGTTGTGTCTCATTTGCAGGTGTTTATAGAAAGCAGAAAAAGAACAACCTTATCTATCCCCAGTTATTTAAATGCTGCTTCAGTCATCTGTTTTGATGGGCTGCTGCACTCATGCTGCAGTTTCATAGTAGAGCCATCAGGGGGAGGGGCTTGGGCAGACACAAAAGCCCTATGGTGCTGCTGTAAGTGACAGAAAACAACAGGGACGATAATGGAACTGTTTAGTAACTGAGCTGCAGGTATGAGGAGACCAGACCAGTTGTAGGAGATGTGGGAACCGATGCAAGTTTCTCATCAGCTGTGTATGTAAGAGAAGGTAAGACAAGGTTTAACTGCAAACAGTTTGTAAAGCCACTTAATGTCTGTCATGAAACTTACTGTAGTAGATGGGAAGGTTGTGGTGTAACAGCTTGTGTATGTTCCCTCCACTGTACAATGAATTACTGTTTAATTTTTAACAGCTATTTTAGAGAGCAGTAAAATAATTAAAAGACATGTGTCCTGTCAATGTAAACATTTCTGTCAGACAAAATGTTTCACAATGGGACAAATTTCACAGATAACCTGTAACATGTAATCCTGTTAGAATCACATGAGATAATCACAGTTATACCGCCCTGCTTGTCACAGTTGTATGAGGTGTACTTTAAAGTAAAAAATAAGTATGTAGACAGACAGACTGAGTGTACTTTTTATTTCCTTTGCTGGTCAACTTTTAGTATTTAGGCTTTCTCAACTGCAAGGTGGAAGTAGGTACAGCTCTGAGATGAAATACTTTTACTGCAAGCTGGAACATGTAGTAAACATTTTCATCGCTTCAGTCTGAAATCAACAGGAACACCTCTTTTTACAGCAAGGCAGGACTTGTGGAGAAAAGGAAGGGGACTGCTGGATAGATAGACCAAGAGGCCAAGAGGTGCATATCAAGGAGATAAACTACATCAATGAAGACACCTGGAATGGAAGTATTCAAGCAACAGAATGTGGAGGATTTCTATGAAATGGGACCACAGCTAGGAAGGTGAGTGTTTCTCAAAGCTGGTTGATGAAACTTCTACAGTTAATTTCCAGTTTTTTGAAGATGAACCCCCACAGTTGGTGTGAGTCAAGAGTTTCATTCACCACTCCCCTGCATGCCACTTGAACTTGTGGTCCTCGTGTGTACGTAGGCATGCAAACAGTTGGCTTGTTTAAGCTTGAAAAGGAGAGTGTCCTTGTGTAAAAGTAGGTTGAAGTTTATAGTCAGAGATAAAGGTTCGGAAGTAAATGCACTCAGTTAGATCAAACTACTGTAAATCTGATTTGCTGGTTTTGCAAAAGGGTGGTGGATCCAGAGTCAGCTTCAACATGCTGAAGTTGAATGTTGAGTAGGAGCATTAATCAAGCCCATATAGAACAGACATCAAGGAAACTGTGTTCCATGGGGAAATAAATTAAAGGAAGTTGGCAAAATGCAATATGGATTGAGGAAGCTCATTGTGCACAGAAAGACAGGTTGGGCACATGCATCACTTGTTAACAGATAAAGAGGGTGTGAAGGGAAAGTTTCTGACCTGAAGCCTTTCATTACTATTTAAAATATACACTATGTCCCAGTATATAGGTAAAGGTTTCAAGTTCAGCATTTACACTTTTATTGGATGCATTAAAATGAATGAAGTCATTCTTTACGCCTTGTAAACCCCTTATCAAAGGTTATTAAAAGTTATATGTAAAGGTATAAGAGGTTTAAAAACACTTTATCATCTGTTATAGAGACATGAAACGTATTGTTTAGAGGCTGACGGTATCAGTGAGGAAGCAGCTGTGAGCTAAGCTTTTTGTGGGTTCAGTGCTGCTAGTGTGAGAAACAGAAACCTAAGGCTAGTGTGGTTTACAGCCTCAGATGTTTGTCACTGAAAACAAGAGGATTTTTTAGTCACAGAATATGTCTGAGAATATTAAATTCAGCAGCTGGATTTACGTTTGTAGCTGTGTTGCCTTGTTGCGACAGCTTTCCAGTGAGTTTTGGAGGATGCAGCCCACCTACAGTTTATGAGAGCCTCATGGGTTCAGACCTCTTAACTATACACCACAGTGGAACTGTTACTCAATTGTCCTCTCAGGAAGGTGGGGAAATTTGATGAAGGGGTCCAAAACTGTTTGGGTGTGAAGTATTTACTGTAAGTTGGTCTATGCTCTATGGAACTGTTGAGTCTTTTGTTACAGGAAAGTCAATTCATCATACTGTCCCCTTGTGGACAGAGTTTAATGTCACAGGGCCCCACACAGTTGTACTCAGTGTTTCATTCCACTACTGATGGAAAGTCATGTGTAAACCATGTGTAAAATAATCCTTTGCTTGATATGTGAGGTATTCACTGACAGCTACCTGTCTTACCATCTGATCACAGTTTCCACTAGTCAGCCCACAAGAATGGTGAGACTATGATGAGGTGTTAAGCAAGTGACTATTAAGGCAAGGTTGAGAATAAAGGACCCCTGGACAGATGGTGGGCTATGGGAAATCTGCCTGTCAACAACAAATTCATTCTTGTCCATGTTTGGGCAGACCTTTCATGCCGTTACTACTGCTGATACTGTGATGGACATGAATGAAAAAAGCATCCTCTTTGTTAGTCGTTGTCAAGTAATGACAAAAATTTACAGGATGCACTGTTGGATAGGAAGTGCCATTGTCTTTGCAAGCCTGAACATAAATAAAAGGCTTGTAAACTTCCTCCACGTTTTGAAATCTGTTAAGCCACTGACATCACAGTGGGTATGACACTATGATGACTCCTTCACATTTCACATTGGTTAGTACATGCAGTGGAGGGTCTACGGTGTTTTTAGCCACATTGCCATGAATTTTTAACAGATATTCATGTTCCCCAGCGGATATAATCACTTTGGTGGCCCCTTAACCTTTAATCTAGCACCACTATAAGTTCAAATTTTATATTTTTGTGCTTTACGGCCATAAAATGAACAACCCTCCCATCAGCCTTTGCTGTATTTCGTTGTATTTAGTGGTAATTAGGAAATGCTAACACCATGACAGTGCACCACATTTTTAAGAAGATAAAGATTCTTTTCTTGCTAAATGTCATCCTGTTAGCCTTACCACTGTGAGCATGTATATATGCTAACGTTAGCATTTAGCTGAAAGCACCACCATCCCTAAGCAGGGTCTCACAAAGCTGTTATTATGGCTGTAGACTGTTGTTACACATTAGCTACCCAAATGTCAGATGAGGAATACTGAAAAGCTCACATCTTACCACAACTGACATAGAAAGTGTTTTTCAAGTTTTGTCTGAGTACTGCTTTGTTCATTTATAGAAACTCATGCTGAAGGAAATGAATTAGAGAAGTGTTTTAGGTTTGCAGAAGTTTGTTTTCTTTGAAGAAGATGCATGAAGTGAAGTGATGCATATTTAAAGTAGCAGCATTCATGCATGTGATGAAGTGAAAAAAGTTGATAGTCACGACGCGAGGCAGACAGCTTATAGTTAGCTGTAAGGAAAACACATTCCTGATGTTGAGTGGGTGAAAAATGTGTTTATTTAATGTCAGACAGAGGTAACTCCATGCTGACCTCTGGGACATTCCTGAAGTTCCTGTTTGACAGAGGTTATACAGCCTTGCTAGCCTACAGATGCTTTGCTGGCACGTGAATCAGTTTAAAACCAGTTTGAACCTATAGTATTTGTGCACTTAATGGGCATACAGTTGAATTATTTCATATTAACAGCATATAAAGTGGCAGAAAGAACATGTATCTGACCATGATGAATGGTCTTATAATGCTTCTCTATGCGCTAAAGAGCACTCAAAGCACTTTGCACTATTTCCCATCCACCCACTTGTTTGAGGACTCTTTGACATGTGGACAGGATAAGCTGGGGATTGAACTGCCGGCCCTACGGTTAGGGGAATGACCCGCTCTGCCTCCTGAACCACAGCATTTGTTAAACTATTACAGGAATTACATTTTCTGCAGTGCTGGCTGAATCATTTTTTAATGGCTTGACCTGCTTCTCCAGCCCTCATTCACATATGATTTCCAGATGATAGTGGTGGTTAGGGACGGGGCTTGGTCAGTAATGAATCTGGCTTTCTTTGTCATGCTGCCCCAGAGCTTGCTCAGTTGGGAAATGTCTTTAAATATTGGGCCGGCGCCACTTGTCTGAGAATTCCTCCAACCTTGGCTGCAGATAATGACCTTCAGCTGTTGGAAGTGGAAACTCTGTGGAGAGATGGTTTTTCAGCTCTGCTGGCCGGCTTAGAGCTAAGTTAGAGCTAAGTTAGAGCACGCCTAGCCCATTGTAGTATACACTTCTAGCATTACTGCTCTCTGCTGTTACTCTACACTTTTATCAAAACCAAAGTAAAGCCCCTACAGTCATATTTGTGTTTAAGTTATATTTATGCACTTTCTCACATTCGAGCTACAATCACCAGCGTGACCTTTGCTTAACATGCAAATTAAGGACACGGTTGCTCCTGCCATGTGACTGTTCCTCCCCTCAGGGTACTTGATGTCTGTTTTCACTGAGTACATTACTGTTCTCTTTGCTTGACTCATTATCATAGTCACCTCTATCAGGGTCAGACTTTTAAGGATGTGTCAGTAGTGGCATTATTCTCTTAATAGGGCAGATAGAGGGAGCATTTGAGATTCCACATCACTTTGCTTAATCACTCCACCTGCCCTGTTTTTTATTTTGCCTTTGCTGCATGTGCATGTGACTCTGAAGACCATTATTACAATGTAAGACTGTCCACATTCTCTCTCCTGCACTGGATGTTATGTAGAGACATAAAGGTATTCAGTGTTCAGCAAGCATTCCATTCCTTTTTTATACATATAGTTAACTGATGTTTTGGAGGAAGGCAAAATTAATAGGAGGCTTGGTGTCTTTTGTAGAGCTGCTCCCAGATGGAGCTGAGTAAGCACAGGACAGGGTGTGCCTCATATAAAGTAAACTGGCTCACCCTTCCCATAATAATGCAGCTAAAACGTCACCGGGCTTGATTTAAACAAACATATTTGTTTTATGATGAGTTGGAGCTACCTCCATGTAAGCACTTAAAACTGAAAGTACAAGTGAGTCTGGCAGGAGCACAGTGCATATCCACATGATTTTAGACCCTTGTTTACTTGATGCAGCCATTATCTAGCTGGTCCTTATTTCCACTCTTCTTCTCTTGCCACTCCTCTGGCTCAGCAGGCCCTTTCCTTCTCCCCAACAGCAACAGAGATGTGGCAGGTAGAGAATGTGAGCAGGGCTATTCTTAGTACACTAGGGACCATGATGACAGTGGGCACAGACTGGACAGCTTCTCACAGCCACCCTAGAATCTCTGTGTGGATAATTATTTCCAAAATATATGAAATGCCTGCCAGTTATTATCTGTTTTCTCCTTGTGTCCTTTTGCAATATCTGAAAATACCAAGTGCCTGTGCTGCATTGCAAAAGTTGCATACTCATGGGTCCACTAGCTTTAACCATCTTAGTCAATATTCTGCATGTATACAAAAAAGAATATTCCTCTTCTGTCAAAGATATCTTCCCCGCACCAACTCCTCTCCCACAGGTCTTTGCCAACTCTTCCAACACACTCACCCTCATGTCTTTCTGTTGCCTATTAGTGATGGATCAGTGGCTAAGAGGTTTGTTCTCACAGTCTGAATGTACAGAGTGGGTAGGTCCGCCCACAGCAGTAGGAAGTGTGTGAAGCAGCAGGCTGTGTCAGGTCAGAGATTACAAGTGCTGCTCTGATAATACTCCACATATATGTTACTGGGAGACAGTGCTGGAAAATGTTTTGGTACTTCTCATTCAGTCTGTGTGTCAATTAGGAGTAAAATGCCTGTAGTCATGTGAGGGGAGAGTGAAAATACAGGAAAGTATTATACTAAATTTACTTATGGCATCACATCAGTCTTTTAAAACTATAAACTGTTCATGTTTGGTCAGCATAAGTCAGTGTTTACACAACTGAGCGGGATTCCATAACCTTATGTCCACAGGCTGTAACACAGAATACAAGAGCACAGTGAAACAATGATTCACTGAGAGAATGTCTCTACACCATCATCTTCTGTTGTGAATATTTAGAGTTTCTGGGATTTTTTCAGTGGGATGATTACTTGATGATGGCTAAAATTTTGGCAGGAAAGTAGCTGGAGTGGGAAGATGGCAGCCCTGGCCTCACTGCTGGCCTGTCTGATTGTTCTCTGTCTGGCTAGTAAACAGGAAGTGATGGACTATACCACAATGTTTCAGTGGGTTTTGACACATAGCTTCCTCCCTCATCTGTCTTCATCTATAATTATATCCTGCTGTTAGTTGTTTAGAATGCCATTAAATGTGGTTTTTAAAATCACATGCCACATTAAAAACTCTGTAGCATCAAGTGTCTTTTTGTTTCTTTTGCAGTGGGCAGTTTGCAGTTGTCAGGCGCTGCATAGAGAAAAGCACAGGCACCGAATTTGCAGCCAAGTTTATCAAGAAGCGCCAGAGTCGGGCCAGCAGGCGAGGTGTGAGAAGAGAAGAGATTGAGAGGGAAGTGAGCATTCTGCAGGAGCTCCAGCACCCCAACATCGTAGCATTGCACGATGTGTACGAGAACCGCACAGACATGGTGCTCATCCTCGAACTGTGAGTCAATGCATGATTTAGCAAGACATCAAGATACTGTATCTGTTACATCTGAAAACAGTCAACACATTTTTTTTTTTCATTTTAGTGAGGTGACTTGTTTTGTTTTGGCATTTTGTTTTAATAAAAACCATGATGTCACTGCAGTCTGTAATGTTTCTGATGATTGAAAACTCTGTCCACGCTGTGAATTGTGAGTTTATCTCTGTGGACACAGTTTGTGAAACCTTTGTTTGCTGAAAACCTTTTGCCAGGATTACGTGCGCCAGAAAGAACCAATGTCTCTCACTGAGTCAATAATGCTTGTGTTGAAAGGAGGCCTCAGTGGTCTGGTCTGGGTACACACTGAGTGCCTCGGAACATAAGGGCCCAATTAGGACTAACTGAAAGCTCAGTTCAGTCAAAGCACTTGTGAAGTGACAGAAACTTGCAGGATTACACACTGTGTCATTTAGTCTTTTTGTATGAATGGAAAAGAACTTCATGCACATAGGCTGGCAGCTGGTCAAAGGACACTATACCATTTACAGCTTTTTATGAAGTTCATAGATTTGTAAGGACAACTAACTCAAAACACACTCAAATTGTTACCATAAATAAACATATCTAAGGCATCCAGGACCAGTCCATCCAATTTTCAAGAATGTGCTTTAGATAAAATTTAAGAGAGCCCTTGTTTCAAACTGAGTCCACAGGATGACTCACTGTGTGTGTGTGTGTGTGTGTGTGTGTGTGTGTGTGTGTGTGTGTGTGTGTGTGTGTGTGTGTGTGTGTGTTACAGTGTGTCTGGAGGAGAGCTGTTTGATTTCCTGGCTCAGAAGGAGTCTCTCAGTGAAGAGGAGGCCACTCGGTTTATCAAACAGGTCCTAGATGGAGTTCAGTACCTCCACTCCAAGAGAATCGCACATTTTGATCTAAAGGTATAACATGCTCCTTCTGATCATTGCATACAAAACTAAATTTGCTTTGTGTTGAGGATTCTTTACCTTCACATCAACTGTAATGTGTCAGTAGAGTCTCACTTTTCTGACTCATACTCTTTTCCTGTTTTCTGTGGCTGATGTCCAGATTCTCAGATACAGATACCACAGGGTTATCACTTCAGTTTCAGATAGCAGTGTCGCCCATGCTGCTCTCTAAAAGTCACTGTGCTGTTTTCAAGCAGCTGCAGCTCCTCTTCGCTCTTTCCATTTGGTCTTCACTAAAAAAAAAACACTCAGTGAAAAGCTTAATTCAGACTGAGGCCTGTACCTTCAGTTTACAGTGACAGATCTGAGCATTAATTAGCGCTTAGCATTTTCTGTGACATCATAAGGTTAATAGTCAGCCTGGAAAATGCTGAAACTGTCTATCCAGTCAGCTCAGATGTTACAGACATTGTCAAAGTCAAGTCAAAGTCAAAGTGTTTATTTGTCATATGCACAGTTAGGAAACACGTTTCCCTGTACGATGAAATTCTTACTTTGCCGTCCAAATGAATGCCACAAAATACAAATGAAATATAAAGTAGATAAATAAGTAACAAAATCTAAGGCACTTTAGGCAGCAAATGCAGAGACATAATAAAAATATATATAAGAATAGAATAAGAGAATGTATGCTGCATTGGTGCTGCAGTCAACAGTCATTGTGCAATTATGCATGCGCAAACTGAGAATGTAAACAGTACAGGTCGTCAGTACATGATGTATTTCCTGATAATAAGCTCCTCAGCTGTTTAGGAGTCTGATGGCAGAGGGAAAAAAAGAGTTTTTCAGTCTAGTGGTCCTGCATTCACACTTCTGAACCTCCGGCCAGAGGGTAGGAAGGTGAACAGTCCGTGCTGGGGGTGGGTGGGATCTTTGAGGATGGAGGCAGCCTTCCTACGCACCCTGCAGTGGTAAATGCTCTGCAGAGAGGGCAGTGGAGTCCTGGTGATCTTCTCCACAGTCTTTACCACTCTGGACCTGGACGCCCAGGTATTTGAAGCTGCTGACCCTCTCCACTCCGAGCCCCCGGATGAACAGTGGCCGATGAGATCTCCTCTCCTTCCTCCTGTCCACTATCATCTCCTTCAACTTGTCTGGGTTGAGGCTGAGATTATTGTCCTTGCACCATGACACCAGACCGGCCACCTCCCTCCTGTAGGCTGCTTCGTCCCCGCCAGTGATGCGACCAATCACTGTGGTGTTGTCCGCGCACTTCATGATGATGTTGTCTTTGTGGGAGGCGACACAGTCGTGGGTGAACAGGGTGTAGAGGATGGGACTGAGGACACATCCCTGTGGGGTGCCAGTGTTTGTACAATGCTGACTGAAATCCTATTGCTGATCCTGACAGTCTGGGGCCTGCCAGTCAGAAAGTCCAGGAAATTGTGACCATTACATTGTGTTATAGAAGTTATAGTTAGATCACAAGATTCATACTACTCTCACACCTAAATGTTCCTAAATGCTTACACAAAAGGCAACTTTAACCAGGTAATTCATATAATTTTGTGCTGTGTAAGTATTAACCAATCTTTATATTAGATAGATTCAGCTGACAAAAGTGCTTTTGCTTTATTTCTTCTGCACTTTAGCCTGAAAATATAATGCTGCTGGATAGAAACGTTCCGCTACCTCGCATCAAACTCATAGACTTTGGACTGGCACACAGAATAGAAGCCGGAGCTGATTTCAAAAACATTTTTGGCACTCCTGAATTTGTTGGTAAGTAGTTTTATTCTGATACGTTTGCGCCATAGGACATTTTAAGAGGAGCCTTGGTGTTTGGCCTGGTGCTGTTTGTGATACAGAAGTATGCGCTGTCTATTTTCAGCTCCAGAGATAGTCAACTATGAGCAACTGGGATTGGAGGCAGACATGTGGTAAGATCTTTTAAATATCTCTGACTCTGCTTCCACACAAAAGGCTGCAGAGAATAACTCTGAATTAACTTTGTGTTGTTTTTCACAGGAGCATTGGAGTCATCACATATATACTGTAAGTTGGATGATTCGTCATTATGAATGGGATTCTTGTTGCATCTAAAGAGATTATCAAGGCCTTAATTAGTGTGTGTGAATCTTTGTGCTGTGGTTTCAGTCTGAGCGGTGCGTCACCTTTCCTCGGTGACACAAAGCAGGAAACACTGGGAAATATCTCAGCGGTGAACTATGAGTTTGACGAAGAGCTCTTCAGCAACACAAGTGAGCTGGCCAAGGGCTTCATCAGACAGCTCCTGGAGAAGAACACAAGGTAAAAAAAAAAAAAAAAAAAACAGGTCACTGACAATCAGCTGAAAGCCAGAGGTCAAGTCTAAGAATTCCAATACAAAGCCGAGCAATAGACATTTCACTGCAGTAAATCTGAAGTGTATGAAAAGTGCAGCCCTGATCCAAATGAGAACAAAAAGGCAAACCAGTCAATACAAATCTACAGCAATGATTTGAGCACATCTGTTACTGGAACAAAACTGTGATACACTAAATAGAATAAGCAAAATAAACAGTATTGATACAGTGAACTAATTGTGTCAGGCAAAGCACTGTGATCTTGTTCTTACTTGTTTTCATTTAAATGCAGGAAACCAAATAGTCCTGTGGGTTATTCTGATCTGAACATATTCCTGAGAGGTTCGCATAACTGACCAACACGCTTTGTGACTGATGGAACTGTTTGGGTGTATTTACTCAGCTGCATTTTCTTCTTTGTCTCCTCATTTCAGAAAACGGATGACTATACAAGACGCCCTCAACCATCCTTGGATTAAGGTATGGACTTGATTTATGCTATATTAAAGCATGCTTTTAGTGTTCTTAGTAACTATTGTCAGCACTCCAACCAAACCCATTAAACAAATGTATCCGATACTGTCCAACAGGTCAACAGGGTTGTTTCTTTTAGGGCCGAATAAAATGACTAGAGGCTCAAAATCCCAGAGTTCACACCCACTCAGTGAATACTATGCATTCTTTGTGCTGAAATCATAGCATATCACAGTTACCGAACAGTATATTGTTTCCGCACCACACCCCCCCTCTGAGAATATTTTTCTCCCCATTCACCTCTCAACACACTTCTATACATCTTATACAGTACATCTGTCTTTAGTAGTCTGAAATAGGCCTTTTGTCAAGAAACTTATTTATTTTCAGCCACTAGAGTGTCAAGTGAGACTCAAACTCACACCAGAAACCAGTATTTGGTGCTCTTTGCCCACACCCTGTCCTGCTTCCTGAAGCAGTTGCATGAACTACAGATACCTGGCTGCAACAAACTATATAAAATACAGCCTCCACGTCAAAGCTAGTGTCAGCTGTGACACAGAAGACACTAATGTTACAGAAAGCCTCGTTACTCTCAAATTAAAATGAGTTCAGTAAAAAGGTAATCACGATCATGCTAGGTCAGTAGTGTTACCAAAACAAACACATTAGTTTCACATGCTAATGCATCTAGAAGGAACACCACATTTGGATCAAAAATGAATGATTTTAATCCTCTCCATCTCAAAAAGCCAAACCATTGTTATACTTGACTAATTTACGCATCGTATTTTGACAACACAGGGTAGAGAAGCTTGAATAACAGCAGAAGAGCTGTAGGCAGCAGACTGTCAGGGGCGTGGAGGGAGTATAGCAGAGAGACACCATGTCTTGCCCCATTTTCATTTGATTTATCACCAATGTGTAAAATCTTAATGCACCTTGAAGTGATCAATGTGAAGCAACATCTCCCTAAATGTGTTTTTAATGGCATGGGCATTTAACAATGTGTAAAGTAGAAGAAGTCTACTCCAACACTGGCTGCTGAAATGCATGGGAATGGTGTTTTCATCGTGTTACATAAGCATGAAGCCAGGTAACCTGACACACTCAACAGGAATGTCTGCTGTTTTGGCATCTTTTCGCTGTAGAGTCATGCACTAATCCTACAATACTACGTCTGCTGGGATGTTCATCGCTGCAAGTATTTCATACACAACGAGACAGCCTTTCACTCAGTGTCCCTCTTCTACCCTTCTGTCCTGTCTGAAGTCTCGTTGCCACATAGAAGAGGACAGCGCCACCCCCAAGGCTGAGAAGAAAGCGGAGCAGCTGAAAACAAAGCACCTGAAGGAGTACACCATTCAGTCACACTCCAGCATGGCACAGAACAACACATATGCCAACTTTGAACGTTTTGCTCATGTGGTTGAAGACATTAGCCTGATGGAGATGGAGCTGTCAGAGGTGGCAGGAGTCCACCACACTTTACAGGGTGACACAGAGGCACTGCTTACCATCCACAAAGACATGGAGTCATGGTACAGGGAGGAGAGTGAGATTGCAAGAAAGCAGCTTTCCAAGGTCCACTATGAGTTTCGTAAAATGGAGGCCGGCAGAAGGATGCTGCAGGAAGACATGAAGGCTATAGATGCCAGTCTGGACAATATCATCAGGAAGTACAACCAGAGACAGAGCCAGCTGGATGCGTTGAGGCAGGAGCTGAACTCTGAGCTGCAGTGGCTGCAGGAGGAGGGGTCCAGGAGCCAGCCAATGGCAGCATCCATGGCAGAAGTCTGAATGTGGATGTGAAACAGGCACTGAAGGATCTGCTGCATCAGTCCTGCGGAGGGGAACTGTGCTCCGAGGCCAAACAGCCACTCACAGAATCTGGCTAACACACAGATTAGGAGACACTCTTATTGGCCTTAAAGATATTAATGCTTTTTGAAAATGGCAGCACATACTTTTTAAGTGTCTAGTCTTTACATTTATTTTATTTCTTGAAGGAATAACTTTTTTGCAAATAGAAATTTTGAGAAAAATGCTTATTTGCTTAAGCTAAGCTGTCTGGCATCTGGCTGCAGCTTTGTACTGTATTTTATGGGCAGATGGGAGAGGAATCATTCCTAATTGTCAGAGACGTGAGCAAATAAGCATTTCCCAAAATGTCTATTCTATTAATTGTCACACTTTAATTGTGGTTCCCTTTTAGGCAGTATTATAAACATGAAGTGATATTAACAGATGATTTATTTGTTCACTTTATTAACCAGATTTGGTGGCTCTTTATTTTGACAATCAATACACATATAGGTGTTGACTGTTTTTGCTGTGAATAAACAGCACTACTTTTCTCCATGGAATGTATCAGAAGTTTTTGATTTATTGGTTGTTTCCCATTCCAGTTATTCACTTGTATAGTGACCTTTGTAGTCATAAATTAAGGTTGAATTTATTTATTTATTATTATTGTATATATAGTTTTAACCTTTTTATTTCTTTTTTGGAGATGTTCTGAGCCAACAGGAAAAACAAAATCTATGATAAGATCTTGAGGGTTTAAAAATGTCATGTCATTATCAGAGCTTTACAGATATACTGTACACACTGACATTTTTAACCTATTAAAACACTGAAATAAATAAATATTTATTTATCACATCTCCCATTTCCAAATTGTTGTAATTTATTTGTGTTTTCAGTTTATTTCCCACTCTGTTTTTGTTTCTAAGTTGAAAACCAAACAGATCTCTTAGTGTTGTGTTTATGAACTTGATTAAATATTTGACATGAATATGAACGGTACCTCCTCCACTATTTCATCTCTCACTGTGTCTCTGCAGCCTCTGGATCTCAGACAGGCCATGGTGAAGAGGTTGTCAGTGATAAACTTGGAGAACTTTAAGAAACAGTATGCCCGACGCAGGTGGAAGGTAAAGTTCACTGTTTGGTCATTTCCTTATAGCAAATTGAGTTTAAAAATGTCTCTGCTCTGATTTTGCAACTCATTCGCTTTTATCTGTTGAACAGCTGTCATTCAGAATTGTGGCTCTGTGCAACCACTTAACACGGATCATGAAGAAGGGCAACCGGCTCCCTGAGGAGAACGGGGTAGGAACACATTATAAAGCTAACAGAAATGGCTCAGTCTGTCAACTGTCCAACAGCTTGGGGGTTTTGCCTATTCTCATAGTTTCCAAGTACAGTAAGTGTGAAGCTACAATCAGAAGTCAGTTAGCTTATAAACATTACATTACAATCATATGGTAGATGATTTTATCCAAAGCAACTTATAATAAATGTATTTAAATCATGTAGGAGGCAGAAAGCTACATATAGATTATGCTAAAACAAGGATTATAAGAAAATTAAACACAAGTAAGTCTCACATTAATAAAGACTGGAATGATGGGGACACAGCTGGACTGGCTCTGTCCAGAGGTTACAAAGTCCACCTACCAGCAACTCTAAAGCTCAATAATTATCACATTATGTCTTGCCTGTATAATTTACGCAAAAGTCAAGGTGTAAAAAAAGCCAAGTTATGGTTTTATGATGGGTTATGTGCATGATGATTAGTTTTGTCACTGTGAGGTTGCTAGGCAACTAATGGAAACTTCAGGAAAACACTGCTCCTGGGCAAAAAATAGTCTGGCACATAACCCCTCATAACCTTGCAACTTTGGAGGTGCTGGTGGGCAGATTTTTCTTTTCAGACAGAGCCATGCTAGCTGTTTCCCTCTGCTTCCAGCCATTATACTATTGTTGTAACCATACATTATATATTTATCATACAGACTTTAAAAAATATAAATCTATAATTTCCGCAAAAAAATGAGTATGCATATTTCTAGAAATGTTAAACTACATGTATTTCTTTAAGAGTAACTGATAATTACAGCAGATATTGTGTTATGCAATATTTCTTTGCAGTCAAAATATCTATTACCTGAACATAGTACGTAGTGCACTGGAATGCAACTAGGCTTCTGGGTCCTGCTTTAAAAAACAGCAAAATCCTTAAATACTGTGAATCCTCTCCAGCTGTGATGATGACAATGGCACTGCTGTTTCTGAACTCAAACACCTGACTGATTTTTTTTTTTTTTTTTTTTTTTACAGAGGGATTGTGAAAGTGACCAAGAAGAAGAAGGAAACCAGAAAAGGAGGCCAAGAACCAGAAAGAGAAGCAGCACTTCCTGAGAGCAACAGCCCATCATCAAGTGCCATGGCTGACAATGTTCCGGTTGCAAAAATATTGACTCTGCAGCTCTGTACCACACACTTTGCAACTGTTACTTGTCATAAACAGTCAGCTACAGTATTGGTTTGACTAACGACTGAATATGCAGCATTTTCATTGGTCAGGGCAGTTTTGTTTGTCTTTTTCACCCACAAAACCAGCAGATCATCTGTTGTATGTTAGATAACATTCTGTCATTTTTAAATGTGTTAAGTCTTCTGGTGTAAGAAGATATACAGTAACTGCTTTATTGCTGCCAACAACTGAGAAGCCAATTTTAGTACATCCACAAGAACACAGGCAGCTTTCTTTAATAACTACAGTCTTAAAAGTCCCTCAGCTGTTCATTGACATTCGATTAATGGCACAGAGTTTAATTCTTTCATTTTTATTCTGCTGGCTACCTGTGAGACTTTACAAAAGGTATGTATTGTCCAAAGCATTGACAGGTAAAATGGTGGTAGCCGGTCTTCACATCCAAATGTTTAAATGTTGGGCTGATTAACATTTAACAATCAAACTGTTTACCTCTTAATTTGCCACAACAGAATAATTACCTGAAACGTGTACATTATATAGAACTATCGGTGTACTGTATTAATAACAGGATGCGTCTGAACTACTGTAAATTAGTTATGTCCAACAGGACAACAATTGTATTTCATTTTATGCATATATAAAAACATTTTATATGCATATGTAAAATTTCACAGTTGAACGTTAATGTAATTATTAGGTCTTACTATACTTTGATGTATTTATGGTGTAAATATACAGTACATGTCAGCCAAATGTCTTAAGCTTAGTTTTTAATGATAATTCACTGTTTGCAACACGCTTTTATGTTTCAGTTTTTATTTTAATGCTGTCATTGTGCACCCGACTTATTTATCATCCAGATTTTGGTCAGTTATTCAGTTTGACAACAGTAATGTTGTTTGGGCCCAGTTATATAACATTGGTTGAGTGTTGAGTGTAATCTAATATTACATGTAAATTTGTATTTTTGCAGTCAAATCTTTCATTATAGGCAAATAAATACAAACAGAAGTAGACATCATGTACTGTAATACAGTTTTCCACAGCACTACTGTGGACACTAATTTGGACAAGTCTGTTACTGTTTCCCTCCTAAAAAGAATTCATTTCAACACATGCTGGAATCTTCCTTCAGTAGAAGGTGAAAATTACAAAAGCCCTTTGAATTATGTACGTTATTTCAGTCTGTATTACTGAAGTGAAAAATAATTTCTTCTGACATCTACAATCCTTATGTGAGCATTTGCATACTATAGAGCAAACTCACCTTCCAACAGCATTGTGTTTCCGGTTAATGAAAACCTGTGAGTTACTGGCATACGATGAGCTAGAGAAAACATTCAGAGCATGCTCTGCTCACCCTTCTGTTATCAGCCTGATGGAGTCTATCTCCAGGCTGTTGACAGTAAATATTTCAGCCATGTCTCACTGAAACATGAGCTTTTCAGCTTTGTCACCAGTAGAGAGTGAAGTGACATGCCTTTCAGTCAGTCATTACAGTTATGTCTGAAGCATCTCATGAAACAGTTGGCATTTTGGGATCAGTTCTGTGGTTGAGCAGTGACACAGTTATGGGATCATGGGATTCCAGGAGACTTACACAGGGATGAGCTGACATGGACCGCTCACACAGACAAATAAGCTACCGACAAAAATTATATGCTATAAGACAAAACTGTCCAGAGACACAAATGTCTTTGACGCAGTGCTGAGTTACCCAGGAGGTCAAACTGTAATGTAAAATGTAGTTAACATGAAACAGGTATAATTCAATTCTCAGTAAGACTTTTACATGCAAGAGTAAAATTCCCAGTAGTATACTAGGTGACTCTTAAAATCATGATAGACCACAAAAAAGACTATCACAAAGCAGCCTATGTAAAAGTATGCAGAATTTGAAGATTCTGCATTCATGGCAAGATGGAATCTCTGCTGACTATGACTCTAAATGTATCTGTTGCCTCCTTGTTGTGATGTTGGCAGAATTTCAACTGGTTACCTGTAAATTGAAAAAGAAATGTTTAAAAATCTTTAAAAGTTTCACTGGTTGCACTTTGGTTAAACAGTTTTCCTTTCACAGCAGTGCCACCTAGAGGGTAATACAAAAACGTCAGTTGAATGGACATGATCTTTCTTTGTTGTTTAAGTTGTATAATAATTATACAAGATTTCTTTTGCTGAAATGTGACAAACTAAATATTAGTGGTGTGTCAATAAATCTTGATTAAAAGCATCAATTAATCCTGCAACTGTGCCGGCTGAACAATTAGTGAATTTTGTTCAGAACTGGTTTGTCATATAGACATCAATAAAAAAAAATGTGACATCAACATTGTATCAATTACCATTGTATTCTGCATCAACAATACTTCTCCTGTCCACAATGAGTCGTACTGTATCTTATGTGATGCACCTGACGCTTTGTGATCAGTGAACAGAGCTGAGAGAGGAGGGTGTGTAGCTTGGGAGACTGTCCTGAGAGCAGTAATCATTAATGCCAGCCTCTCACCTTATCTGTGTGATCATTAGGTCCTCATTAGCATGATGATCTCTGGAAATGAGCTCATGGAGGCCGATTCCATTATTCATAACTAGAAGAGTACAGTCTGCCCCCTATTCTGGGAAATTAGACTTAATGAAGGGTGGCCATATTTAGGCTCTGTGCTCTGGATACATCACTGAGTGTTGTGCCTCTGCTAGCGGTCTCATATGCTTCATCCAGTCTGCATTGCCTGTACCTGCATGGTTAGAGCCAAGAAAAGGTGACAGGTTTTGCTCATTAGGCTGAGGATGACTACTGTATATGTAGCTTAAAGTAAAGCCTGTATTTAACTGGTTGACCTTTTCATCAAACTTATGGTTTGCAACATGAACTGTGCATCTAACAAAGCTTTGGTTACTGACTTACATTATGTGGTGTACAGTTACTGTCTCAGTCTGATTTTGAAAACAATATTATTATTTTAATCAATATGAATAGTGTTGTGATCTATTTTTATACATAATTAATGACATAAGTGTTATCCTAAACTCAGAATATTTGCCAAGGTGTCAAACATTTTGCTAACTGATTATTTGAATTGGATGTTTTAGATGTTGTGGTCCATGCATCC